TGTCACAACCGCGAGGCGTTTACGTTCGTTCGTTCGTTTCAGCCGAAAGACGTCCACTGAGGATTTCCACAAAGACCGGTCCTGCGCCGCTTGCATCCAGGTACCTCCCGCGACCTTCACCAGATCGTCGGTCCACCTAGTGGGAGGCCTGCCCACGCTACGTCTTCCAGCTCGTGGTCGCCACTCAAGAACTTTCCTGCCCCAGCGGCCATCAGCTCTTCGAGCTATGTGCCCCGCCCACTGCCACTTGATTTTAGCGATTCTGCGGGCTATGTCAGTCACTCTGGTTCTCCTACGGATCTCCTTATTTTCGTTTACGTTACGGTGCGAACAAGGCCCAGAACAGACGGTGAAACGCAACTGCAACGAAACTGCAACTGCTAGTTACTTTTGAGTTGCATCTAAGTTTCTGCCATAGCGTCCGTTGAGAGACCACACATGACGCGACCAGTTTGAAACTTTCAGTTTCATTCATAAGAATCATCAGAAAGTTGCAGTTTCGTTGCAGTTGCGTTTCACCGTCTGTTCTGGGCCTTAGTCTTTTTAAAAAACTGACAATGGTTGATAATCTGGCCCCAAAGAATGATTCTGAAAGCACTATTATGCGCTCACATAAAGCCCACCGTTTCAGTCTGATAATAAGATCTCATCTACACTCCTGTTACCTGGTAAGACAGTAACAAAGAGCCAACCAATACAACACGATACAATTGTTCCAGGCGCCATCAAACAGCAAGCTGCGAGTGCCGCTCCAGATCAAGGTGCCGTACCAGATGGTGGTGTCGGACGCGGCCGGCGCGCGCCGCACCGTCACCGTTGACCCGCAGCGACGAGAGGTGCTCACGTAGACACGACTTGCAACTTTAAATCTGGGACGATAGAGACTAATTTCCGTTTTCACCATCAATCCCAAAATTTTTAAGTGACTCTTAACAGGAATTTTGTTTTCATAGGAGTCATTTTTTTATCCACAAAGAGGAAGCTCTTGGCCTGTATCTCATCTGATGTAAGTGATGATCAGGCCGAAGGTGGAAGCGAGCTTCACCCGGAATCCTCAACCACGGAGGAACTGGCTATCTTACCTCTAACTGCCGGAACACAAAATGCTGTTAACATTGTTGTAATGGCGACAGACTTAGGTAAGATGGTGGTAGCTAGCCAGGCGGACTTAGAACAAGCCCTACCACCAACCAAACCGAACAGAAAAATCTGCCCCCACAGGGAATCGAACCCGGGACCTCTGCGTCTGAAGCAGGTGGTCTTACCACTAGACCACAGAGGTGGTTACTTTTAGGGTATGACGGTAAAAACGGGCATTAGTCTTCAAACGGCATCACATTTTATTGCTGGGACAATAGAAACTGACAGTCTTTTAAACGAAGTCGGATAACATTTGACAAAACATTGCTTAGGTATGTCTCGGAAAATTTGAGTTAGGCCTCCCACACTAGCATCTTTCGAACGCGAGTACAAGTTACATAAAAAAAAATACCAACCCACCAAACTAACAACGACCTCCTTTTATTGAAGTCGGTTTAATAGTGTGGGGGGACCCTAAGCTATAGTTTAATGTATTCTATGGCAAAGTGAAATCATGTTGAGAATACCGCGTGAGACAGATTATTCTTTGTTGTTTTTTAATCAATTATGGACAAAAATTCCGGATTCTATTAGCATGCAAACCGCTTGTACAGTCCACATCAATATGACCTTAATTATAACTAAATAGATATCAATGAGTAGGTTCAACCATTCGTTGTAGAGTTTACGCAGAATGATTTAAAAGTTATTCTTATATCGTTAACTTTATTCGTGTGCGATTTTTTCTAATCCATGACGAATTTAGAATTCGATTACTTAAAAACATACAACGGAATCTCGAGTCATTTATGGGTCGTACTTTGCGCCTCTTAATTGTACAACAAAGATACATTCATTATTGTGTATTGATTAAATTGTTCAATCGTAAAGAAATATCATAGACTAGCTTTCCGCCCGTGGAATTTTGTCTGTCACAGAAAAACTTTATCGCGCGCGTCCCTGTTTCAAAAACCGGGATAAAAACTATCCTATGTTCTTTCCCGGGACTCAAACTATCTCTATGCCAAATTTCATCAAAATCGGTTGCGAGGTTTAAGCGGGAAAGCGTAACAGACAGACAGACAGACAGAGTTACTTTCGCATTATATAATATACTAGCTTTCCGACCGCGGCTTCGCCCGCGTGGAATTTTGTCTGTCACAGAAAAACTTTATCGCGCGCGTCCCTGTTTCAAAAACCGGGATAAAAACTATCCTATGTTCTTTCCCGGGACTCAAACTATCTCTATGCCAAATTTCATCAAAATCGGTTGCGAGGTTTAAGCGGGAAAGCGTAACAGACAGACAGACAGACAGACAGACAGACAGACAGACAGAGTTACTTTCGCATTTATAATATTAGTTGGGATATATTATATATATTAGTTGGGATTAGTAATATTTACAGTGCCTATAAATATGTATAAACTTGTTTGGACGGACATCGTTACTAAATCATGAAATATGTTTTTCTCTGCTAAAACACCACTGAAATTAAATGAAAGATAGTTTCTTTGCAATTAAACAATTTCCTACGAGGTTCTCGTCAACAATTAACAGATAAGTTTAACATAACTATACAATTTTGAGTTCCATACTTTACCGTCCATCCAGCACATCTCCGTCAGAAATAATAAAAGTATTGATTTAAATTAAAATACCTACGAAATACTGAATTAATTAGTTATATTTATGTCAAATTGACTTGCTTAATAATCATGTATATCCACACTGTCAAAAAGTACTTAATGACAAAATCTTTATAAAAACGTTAAATGAAAGTTAGTTAGGGCCTTAATTGGACGATAGTCTTTAAACAGGGTCCAAATAATACTGACTTTGTAATTATAAATGTACAAATTAATGATCTCGAATAGGCTAATACTTTTGAGATGTACATATCTTTGTCAATCTATGGATTTCAAATTTTTATTACTTAGGCTCAGAACAGACGGTGAAACGCAACTGCAACGAAACTGCAACTTTCTGATGAATGAAACTGAAACTGAAAGTTTCAAACTGGTCGCGTCATGTGTGGTCTTTCAGCGGACGCTATGGCAGAAACTTAGATGCAACTCAAAAGTAACTAGCAGTTGCAGTTGCGTTTCACCGTCTGTTCTGGGCCTTATAGATTTTAGTTATAAGGTCACGCGTTGTGCCATGTACCAAATATCATGTTAAGTATACTATAGTTTATATTTGGAGTTCCTCGATTTTCGTCTAACTTATGTTGTGATCTTGTCGAGTAAGGTTAATATTGTAATAAATTTCGAATTTAATAAAGTATTTTGCACTTATAACTTGTCTTATTTCTATTTATTCATTCCATTTGTAAATTCTATGCTGTTGTATAAGTGCGGAATAATATGTAATTAAGTCCAACTTTTTTTATGTTTTTTACCAGTGAACTCGTTAGTTAGACTGGTTAGACGCCCAACGGTAAGGCGGTTATCACACTGCGCCGCGCTCCGCCGCGGAGTGCGTGATTTCATATAAAAAATCCCGCGCGCAGACGCGTTGTCAGTATGAAATGCCGCGCGTGTTTTCTATACAAACTGAGGTACTTGCATACAATGATTATATCTGTCGTCCCGCGTACCGCGGCTAGCGCGGCGGCGCACACAGGTGAAATTTGCTCAAAAGTTGGCCAAAATTACGTTAGGTGTGTTTATGCCTATATATTGATGTAGTCTGTCTAAAATAATAGTTTAAAGGTGATTTAAAAAGAAAAAGTAACAAATGTTTTCATTGATGTAATTTAGTCTTACTAATAATTTGTTAAAAATTTGATAAATTTTTAAAAATACAATTACGATGCAGAAGTTATTTTTGGTTCTTTTAAAAGTTTTATTACATCTTAAGGATAGGGAAAACTAATGGAATGCTATTCTGGGAACTGCCTGAAAACATATTATGAGTATTTTTAAAATTCATAAAAATTGTCAGTTTTGCAATATTTTGTTTAGGTGACGCAGTTTGACGCAGCTAATTTTGGTGTCATATGAAAGCCATAGATATGTTCTTTCGAAATATGTAAAAGAAACGGGTTGATCGCGCTTGATCATGAACTTTTTCACTGTTTAAAAAAAATAAACTGTTAAAATATAGACTTCTATTCAAACCTATATATCTATAACATAGTAAGTAATGTAGACTGTTTAGTAATACAGAAATAATAAACTAACCTGGAAGTATAGAATCCATATGTTTTTTACCAAATATTAACTAAATAAAAGTTAAACGTTGTTGTTAAACAAGAGCTAAAATTATAATAAATTACTCAACAAGAAAAACTGTTTAAATTAAATGTTGTGGGTATCTGGATAAAAAGTGTTAAACTTTTTAAATATCATTTATAGATGGCGCCATATGTCTTGTTCCTATATTAGGTTACTAATTTAGAATCGGAGTAACTTTGCTTTTTTTAATTTTGGCCACAAATTACGTACATTTCACCTGTGTGCGGCGCAGTGTGATAACCGCCTAACTTAGACCTCCCCACGCGCATTCCATGTGGCAATGTGAAGGTAAATAGATATTAAGTTATGTTGTAACTTTGTGATTTTAAAAACAAACAAAATATGTATCTGGAATTACTGTTTATTAAGCACAAGATCAAAAAAAAAAAAACGGAAGCACAATTTACTATTTCTATGTTTCTTTAATTTTTGTATAATATGATCTGGAAATACTTCGACATAAATTAATCCGGTTCGAATCCAGTAGGAGTAGAACTTTTTCACGGAAAAAAGTTTCAATTAAATTTACTTACATTGAAAAGGCTTGAAAACGCTTTTTCTGAATAGGATAAAGTAACTATTAAGTTATTTATACGTACACTTTTTGGTCATTAAAATCGCGATTTCCAAAAACAGGCGATACTTATACATATAATATGTACATTATATTTCTTCATATCACTTGTTATTTTACGAAGTAAATCATTGTCTGAAAGAGTTAAATAGTTACCTAAGTTTTAATCTACTATTAAATTAACATTATCCTTGACCAAGATTCTATTTCATGTACACAGTCATATTTGAGAATTTATGTTTATGTGTTTACCTATTACTTTCAATATTATTTTAAGAATTGTAGATGGAAGAAATATTGCTTTTATGTTAAACTGCGACTTAGATCTACATACACTTTAAATTCTTAAGTAGGTACATTTATTTATTTTTTTGTACTTTCCATATCAAGTTTTCACTTTGGAACGCCTACCTAAAAAGTTCTGACCGTTCTATAAAAATATGATTTTCATCTAAAGCTGCTCGTAGTTTTTATAACGTATTTTACAATTTTAAAGGATTTAGGTAACTATACAATGTTATATCTGTAGTACTATAATCAATATAATAATTACACATTTTTATGGTCACTGTGAACTCAAGTTTGGAAGAAAATATACGCCTTTCTAAACATAAACAATTTAACAATTATAAATAATCCAAAAACGATCCGAAACAGGCCCTCAGAGGTCGCCAACAAGTAAATATAAAAAATATTTATTCCATAAAATTTTCGATAACAATAAAAAATATAAAATCAACAGAATAATCACAGCTATCACAATATGTTTGCTTTATCAAATAGTTTTAAAGTATCACTTTAGAATTTCCTAATTTATGTAATAATTTAATTAAAACAAATGTCGAAGACGGAGCGAAGTATCTACAGATTGTAGTTTTACTTCTTATTCGATAGTAATATAATTATTTACAAAGAAACTGATAGTGGAAGAGAGACATTACCTCATTTTTAATTTTTAGAAGCCCTATCTTTTGATTCTTAAATGCTTTTATCACTCAATAACATTAATGAATTAATGTTCTGTCACATTTTGTTAAGACCTTAATAAATATTATAGTTTAGCAATGGCTCATCTCTCACTTGAAACAAACGTATTCTATAAACTATCATTCATTATTGTGTCATAGCGTTAAAGATATTCATACACGAACCATGGGTCTGTTTATGCGTGAGTAACATCATTTGTAGCTGCAGACGGTTGGGGCATGCTCTGGTGATCAGAAGCCGTCCTTGGCGGCTTGTATGAGCGACATCAGGTCCGGGCGGTCGCAGTCGGGCGAGTCTGGTCAGGACGGCGCCGACGCGGTGTCTGACGCATCCAGGGTCGTCGTGGTGTCTAGAAGGAACACAATACGTCAACCAATAAAGACTATAAGCATAAAATCAATGCTGCGTGATGTTGGTTGCTCTTTGGAATTTTAGAATAGAATAGATACAATACAATACAAATCAAAGAACCAGAGGATGAGTTGATTACTTTTCGTATAAACTATGTAATTACAGAGCGAGAATCGTGCACGAGAAAAACTTTCTGCATTGGTCTTAAAATTATGTATTTTAGTCAAATTGGATTTATCATGTTGCTCATAGGTATTATTATGAAACAATCTATGTACCTGAATTAGCGCCTGCAGACAACTCTGCCTTCACGCGCCGCGCGATGTGCGAGCGAGTGTGCTTGCGTAGATGATCCTTGCGATAGAAACCTGGAAACAAATCATCGCCTAATGAGTTTTTTGCCACAACCTTGACACAGAAGTACGGACGACTTATAAAAACTGGTTCTCGCATATTTTAAACATTAGTTTTATGTTTCAAAAACTATTATTTCGCACCAGGGTTTACTTAGGTGACAGTGGGCATTACTGGGGGCACAGTGGTTCATAGGCGTGAAAAGTACTCGAATGGCAACTGCAGACTGAAAACTGTAGTGTGTTAGGCAGGCAAGGCAGGCTTCCCACTCGAATGATCGACAATCTGGTAAAGGTCGCGAACGCTTGGACTCAGGCAGCGTAGTACCGGTCGTTTGTTGAAATCCTTGAGATGGGGGAGTCCTTTGTCTATTCCCACCTCTCGTTCCCACCACTGCAACTCCTGTGTAGCCAGGATCTACAGCTTGACCGCCACAAAAACCCATGACGTCAAACATGAAGGTCAAGTTTGTCCCGGGGCAAAGTTAAACAGTCATTGGACCCGCAACGAAATTAATCAGAAGAACATAGGAGGAGTTCGAAATTAAGGTTCGACTTCCCTCCATTGCAAAGCGGATGACAGGTGACCAACAAAGGTTTCAAACCTTTAAGAAAAGATTATGCACCACGGACAATAAATATCAATTAAGGGGGCCTATTTTATGAGAGATGATTTTTCCTTGTCGCGACATTAATAAATTGCGGAAACAGATGTATGTTTTATTGAATTAAGCATTATATCACGTTCATGTTTCCAAAGATCACACTCCCACAGTCCTTTGTCTAACAGTGAACAAGTTTTTATTGAAGCGGCTTAGTTAAGGATACATACCTTTCCCGCACTCGTTGCAGACATGCCTCTTCTCGCCCGAGTGGATGACGAAGTGCAGCGTGAGCTGCTCCTTGCGCTTGAAGGCCTTGAGGCAGACGGAGCACACGTGCGGCCGCTCCGGGTTGTGCGACTGCTTGTGCCGCGTCAGGTGGTCCTTGCGCTTCAGCGCCGCGTTGCAGATGTCACAGATGAACCTAGCATTGAAACGCAATTGGAATCTAAGTTTGTAAAGCCTCTGATTTTGTAATGTGTTTATGAAATCTACTATACAGGGTGTTAGGTAAATGGGTATATGAGCCGACACTAGCCCATGTTAACATGGTCATATAAATGGTATGGTGAAGTCAGAAAATTGATATCTTCATTTTAATTATCTTATTTTTCATACAAATCGTATGTTATAAAATTTATTTTGTATGAAAATAAGTCGGGTTTTATTTCCTGACGCTATAACTCCAGAACGCACGAACCGATTCCCACGGTTGCATTCGTTGAAAAGGTCTCGGACTCCGTGAGGTTTATAGCAAAGAAAATTCAGAAAAAATTTAAAGGGGATAAAACGGGATCCACGCGTACGAAATCGCGGGCGGCCGCTAGTGACGTCTAAAAATCGATTCCAACTCAAGTATACTCTGAATTTAAACTGGTGCATTTGCAAAACGAAGCTCGAATTCTATTTTCAACATTTATTCAACATTCAATATGTATTTAGAGCAAAGAGAGGGAAGACAGTCTGCGACTGAAATTAATTCAGAGCGTCGTTCATCATCATATTCTAAATAAGATCAAACAGTGAACGTGAACTTGACATGGAGCTTTTAATTAATAAAGAAACAACTAAAACACAATGTAAAAGCCTAACCACACATCGCTAGCTTTTCAAAACACTTATGTAAGTAGTTGGTTACTTAATTTTTAGGAGTGGCGCCACCACATCTACATGACAAACTACAACTATATGACGTTTACACTCACATAAGGCTTGCAACTTAGTGAAATATTCGCAAATGGTACATCTGAAATATCCTACCTCCTCTCCATAGTGTGTCCAAGTAAATGCTGCTCGAGCAATTCTCGCTCGGGATACGCCATCTGGCACTCGGGACAGCAGTACAGGGTGCTTCCATCTGCAAGCGAAACTATACAACTGTTTATTGACTTTCAAACTCACTCGACATCCGTGTATACTAATATTATAAGGGCGGAGTTTTGGGCTGACACTGTGTATAGGTTTGTTGTCGACACGAAAAGAAGAAGAAGGGTGTGTATTTATGATAAGAGTTAAGTATTTGTAATTCCCATAGGTACCCATATCACGAGCCGAACCACTGACCCTTCAAAGCTCAGGTTTTTCCTATTTTGAAGGTCAGGGGAACAACAAATTTGCTTAAACACGAAGTTTGTTATAATGTGATTAAAAGATTTTAAGCTGTATTAGTGTTATGGTTTGGAAATAATCTATTTATTATTATTATTTATTAAATTACGAAAAATCTTTTCTGAAAAAAAAAATCAAAGGAGGATCGTTTGTAAAAAAAAAGGTGTTTTGACTATTTCATAAAACGCACTAACTATCAAAATCGGACTGAAAATGAAAAAGCTGCCTACAAACCATTCATCTTTTTGTATTTTACCTAATCGTGAGGTCACATAACGCGTGCACCGTATTAGTCCAGTCAATGAATGCTTTAACAACGGTGTAGATGGAAATCCGTGGAACACAATTTCTTCGGCTTCGGGACTTTATTTAGACTAGTTAGGAGGTGAACATAGCAAAAGTCCCCGCCCTTAGCCCTTGAGCCGGCGGCGAGATAGGGGTTTGAAGGTACCATTTTGGTATTGTTCATATCACAATATCTCTGGTAACCTTTTGCACGTCGGTCATTGGCTATTGTTAAGGTCACAACTCGCAGTTATATTTAATAGGATTTACCTAAATCTATGTTATCTTGACGTATTTAACAAATGTTTAGCTCACGTGAACACGTGATGTGTGTGATGAAACTGAAGCCCCCCACCCCAATATATTCAAAGCTCACCCAAAGCAGTAGTGATCCTGATCTCCCCTGGCTTCGGTCTGGGCTGCTTTTCCTTAGCCGATTTCTTCTTTTTCTTTTTCTTGGCTGGTGTGGGGGAGGTTGGGGCGGCCAGCACCTGAGTGACTACTGGAGCTGTCTGTACCACGACGCTGCTTACAGAGTGCGAGGGCAGTTGCTGGGGACAGAGCAGGTGGAATGATAGCTCACCTAGAAACGAGAATGGAGCGATGGGTTTAAATTAGTTTGTGAAGCATAGCTTTCGTTTGTCAGAAAAATGGTAAGAATTAATAAAAACTACTCAATACTCAATCGTTTATTGCATAACCACATTAGCATTATTCACATTAGGTCTTACAATTTAGGCAGTTATACAATGTGGACCCAGTTACGGCACAGCAACTTTAGGAAGGAGACAGAACGACGATCTTAATAGTTTCAACAGAAATTAATGTAGGTAGGTACACATTGAGTTTGGTGGAAATGTCATTATTAAACGTTTCGATAATTAGAAAATAAAGATAGAATTAATGAATTATTAAAATGGAAAAATATTGTTAAAATGTCATGCTAATTACTTGTTATCAAGTGTTGAAATGTATACCAATCCCAACTAATATTATAAATGCGAAAGTAACTCTGTCTGTCTGTCTGTCTGTCTGTTACGCTTTCCCGCTTAAACCTCGCAACCGATTTTGATTAAATTTGGCATAGAGATAGTTTGAGTCCCGGGAAAGAACATAGGATAGTTTTTATCCCGGTTTTTGAAACAGGGACGCGCGCGATAAAGTTTTTCTGTGACAGACGAAATTCCACGCGGGCGAAGCCGCGGGCGGAAAGCTAGTATAAATATAAATACCAAGTAGGAAGTCTTAAATCTGACACTGCTTACAAATAGTTAGTCGAAGAGCTGTAATATCTATTCTGTTTCTTGAAACATATTGTAACGTCACTTATCACTGATTCTAGAACCTCAGAATCAATTAATACCTATACTATGCAATGGGTAGGATCGATCAGAGCCGTATTTATAGAAGACTAGCTTTCCGCCCGCGGCTTCGTCCGCGTGGAATTTTGTCTGTCACAAAAAAACTTTATCGCGCGCGTCCCTGTTTCAAAAACCGGGATAAAAACTACTCGCATTTATAATATTAGTATAGACTTATTTATGTAAAAAGGATTTTTAATTAAATAGCTAATTGACAAGGTTTTTTTAGTATACAGTATTTGTTTTTATTTCTTATCTTATGAAAGTTAAACTGAAGTTATTTTTGTCTCAATCAAGATGGTCGAATATAGCGTAAAATTAAAGTAGCAAAAAAGCCTTACCGTGGCGATGGTGGATATGGGAGGCAGCGCGTTGGTGACGGTGACCACGTTGTGATGCTCCTGCCGCTTGTCGGCGGCCGCCGACGGCAGCTTGGCGTACTGCGGACAAGAAACCCTTTGGTCATATATTTATTTAATGAAGGAAACATACAACTTTTATAATTCACTAGCTTTCCGCCCGCGGCTTCGCGCGCGTAGACTACATTATCTACGGAACCTACGGAACCCTATTTTTTTCCTAAATAAAATTTAGCCTATGTTACTCGTGGATAATGTAGCTTTCGAATGGTGAAAGAATTTTTAAAAAAGGTGCAGTAGTTTTGGAGCCTATTCATTACAACCAAACAAACAAAGTTTTCCTCTTTATAATATTAGTGTAGATATAGGTACCTACATGAAAAGTTTTGATAAGACATAAGCCAAAAAAGTTTTAACATTAGTTCGTTAATAGCGTATGTAGACATTATTATAAGTTACGTAATTACTAGGTACTTTCATTGTTTACAAAGCATTAGCGTTTTTGGTCATAGCACTGAGTTTAGGCTGATAAAAACTTCGTTTGTTTCAGCCAAATGACGTCCACTGCTGGACAAAGGTCTCCCTCAAGGATTTCCACTACGACTGGTCCTACGCTGCCCGCATCCAGGTATGTACGGGTTACCGCGTCCACGACGCTACAAGGTACTTATTTCTCACGTCTTGCGAACTATTCTGTACCAACGGCCATCAGCTCTACGAGCTATGTGTCCTGTCCACTGCCACTTAAAAACTTATTTATTACAATTTTTATGTAACTACAGCTTTTTTTCGGATGGATGCGGGCAGCGCAGGACCGTTCATTGTGGAAAACCTTGGGGGAGGCCTTTGTCCAGCAGTGGACGTCATTTGGCTGAAACGAACGAAGGAACAGCTTTTTTTCATGGTCGTCATGTAGTCTACAGCTGGATATAGCCCTTACTTAGAGCGCGGCAATAAAAACTTGAGGTAACTTGAGGTATAGTTGCATGGAACTGGCGTTAAAGAAGTAACTCTAGAAATCTGATGATGCTTCCACAGACCAAACGCGGGGTTTTTTGACAGCCACCCGCGTTGCAACTGCTGCCTTCAGTGTGCCTACTGCCGCGCTGCAACTGACCCGCACTGCTTCTGACCCACGTTTGGTCTGTGGAAGCCTTTACTTAGAAATATCGTTATTAAAGCACACGCTAAACCCAGAGCAGTTAAACAACTTGGACTGGGCATGAGGCACACTGAAAACCAGCGTCGTGGCCTTCCTTACCGTGGGCCACGGCATATGCTGAGTGGAGTCCCATTGCGATGGGCATCGCTGTTGCGACAGGGTGCTCAGTTCACTTTTTATTTCCTTGTGCTATTTCTGTCGTTTTTTCCGTATACCTTATTTGTCCTTAAGTAAGTGATGTTCATCGTAATAAATGTTACTTTATTTCTAAAGAACTTACCGTAGCAATAGTTGATATGGAAGGCAGGGCATTAGTAACTGTCACGATGGTGGGTTGCTCTTCCCGCTTGCACTCGTTGGCCGGCGTGGAGTATTTGAGTAAGTGGTGTAGCGGCAGAGGTAAGGCGGAAAGGTAGTCCGCCACACCCCCGCCTAGGGTCTGCCATGTTGAACTGTCGGAGACGTCGCCAATGCCTTGGGAGAAAAAGAATCTTACAAAATATTGATACGATAAATACGGAAATGTACGAAACTCAGAGTAGGTACCTTACCTATAAGTTATTGGGGTTGTCAATAGGTTAGTCTGGAATAAAACGGTTAAGGCTCCTATCGCGATATGGTAAAACCCGCCAGCACGACCGCTTGTTAGTTCACGAGACCGCGATTGATGAGTTGTTGTTTTCTTATAAGCATTTAATCAGAAATATCGAGAAGGTAGTGCTTACGAACGATCGCGTAGGCCGTAGATGCTCTTGCTGACTATAGACACTCACTTAAGTCCCTGATCAAGGGAATACAAATGGCTAAAAAAAGCGGATTGTGATCTATCTGTACACATCATCGCAAATTCACCAAATATACAGCTAATCCGAGTGCCATGTCAGGCGTTTGCCGCGCTTGCACACTTATACGTAAAGAGGAGTGTCCGTATCATCCACGTGCAAAATGTGCCCGTAAGTCATTTATAAGTAATAACATGTAAGTATTCAAGGAAGATCAGCGACGGTATTTCCGTCATGTGTGGTAAAGCCTATAAGCATCTCTCTTCTCAAATACCAGATTCTAACTCAAGCGAAAAAACAATAAAATAAGGCATCTGTCTTCTCAAGTATGAATACTTGTACAACCCAAGTGAAACTTAAATTAGGGCACTTACTAATAAACTCAGCGGGAGCGGCGGCGGCGGAGCGGTCGGCGCGGGTCTCCTGCTTGATGGCGCGCGCGAGCGCCGCCGCCTCCTTCGGCTCGTGTAGCACCACCAGCAGCTGCTGCCCTTGCTGCAGCGGCGCTTGCGTCACTGTGCACAGACGTTTGTGGTTCAATAGGATGTCTATAAATAACTTGAAAAAATCAAACTGCCTAATTTCGACGGGTTCATCCAGTGTCTAAGTAGCTCAGTTGGAAGAGCAGTCGCCCGGCAAGCGGAAGGTCGTGGTTTCAATGAGGGCTATCGTTTTTATACTTAACAGTTGGCACCCCTGGCGATTGACAGGACCTTACTCTACAGTGGCGCTAACTGGTGAGCGCTAAAACGATAGCCCTCATTCCCGTCTTAGGCAGTTCGATTTTTTCAAGTTATAAGTTACTCGTACTTAGGTACTCGGCCAGGATGGCAGATGGCTAAGTGAAGCACCTTTGCTTGTGAGCGCATATTGATATGGACGTTATTAACCCGAAAGCTGAAGTCAGACTGTTATTTACCAAAAGCTGCTGCATCATGGTGGCCATGAAGTCATGCGTCAGGCCCTCGCAACGCGAGGGTCCTGCTTGTCAAAGCGCTTTCCTACCTTCCGAGCCGAAACTTTGCTTCAAACATAGCTAGTCAGCACGCTTTATTCACGCCTGACACCGCAACTAAACTAGATACTGAGATAAGACAGAGACAGGGACTTTTACTTACCAAAAGTGTCCCCCTGCTGCTGCATCATGGTGGCCATGATATGATGTCCTCGCGGTACTCTCGCTTATCCCGCTGCTCGGCCTTCAGCTGCTGAACCTCGGCCTGCACGTAGGTCTGCCCGCCATAAGTTACTAACTGACCCAGATAATAAGTCTAAAAATGTCAGAACAGTATTTACCAAAAGTGTCGCTTTCTGCTGCATCATATCAAGGCGGTTATTTATGAAGTCCAGCGTCAGATCCGAAGTCGAAGCGCTGTGTTGTCTTCGGTTACCGCACCTTTACCTCTAAATAGCTGACTTATAGTTTACATAGATTAACGTATACTCGTACCAATAGGAACGTTACTTACCAAAAGTGTCTCCCTGCTGCTGCATCATGGTGGCCATGATGTCGTGTGTGATATCCTCGCGGTACTCCCGCTTATCCCGCTGCTCGGCCTTCAGTTGCTGTACTTCGGCTTGCACGTAGCTGGTCTGCCCGCCGTACGTGATGTTGCCCAGGTTGACCGACGACGACGCCGAGATCGTCTGGTATTTCACGCCCGTGTTCACTGTTTAAACACCGTTGCACTTGAGGAAACGTGTACAAACTTCAAGATAGTTTTTAACTAATTTCATTTGCCGTATTATTTAGGCCCGGAAGAATTTAAAGTAATATTTTGGAAACATCTACAGCAAGTATGTGAAAATATTTAAAAAAAACTACATGAAAGTTTTTGAAAAAGTTCAATATTGTTGTAATTAAAAATGTGATAAATATTTGTGAAAAAAATGTTTGGTTACTGCTTACACAACAAAAGTGACCACCGAACACTTTGGTTATGAGGAACAAAATGTTGTGTAAATTAAACAAATAATTCTGTAGTGAGCTAGTTTGGTTATAGTTAAAACTTAGTTCGGTGGTCACTTTTGTTGTGTAAGCAGTAACCAAACATTTTTTTCAGTTGTCACCGTGTTTGCATTTACTATTTATTTACCTGTATGTATAGTCGGCATGGCGGTCAGCACAGCTGTGGGCTGCGCGCTGCTCACCACGACCACGCTCTCGGGCTGCCTGAACTTGACCCCGTCCACCACCGTGCCCCCCGGCGCCACCGCAAACTGGACCCCTCCACCCCCCTGGTACCTGGTCTCCTGGACCACCCCCGTGTTGTTCCCGCCCCCCTCATAACCAAACTTCGCGGCGAACTGGTGGATACTCGGGATCGCCGCCGCCGTCGGAATGTGACCCGTGAACGGAGCGAAATTCATCTTGATCTAATTCTGCAACCAAACATTCAGCGTCGATGTGTGCGTAAGGGTATGGGATGGGCCCCATGCTTCGCTGAAGGCGGTGGAAGGAGGAGGGAGTTGCGTCTTGAGTCACTAAAACCGATGGTGTGGGTGACATTTCGCAGCAAAACTTTTCCGACATCAACAAAACTTTTCTTCACTTCTAATCCGGATTAAGTAAAACCATTAAATTAGCCTTAAATATTAATTTAAGTTTAAATAATTTAATAGAAGTCATCGAAATTTGAAAAATCGAAGGCCAATTAAATATTGACCGAGTCCGCGTGCACTCCGGCGTGCGATCGTTACACATGACTGCTCGAAACAGGTTTGAAGAGCTAAGGGGCTGGGGGTAGCGCGGAAACGCAGCCTTGCACCGGATTACCGGACAGGTGGTGTATGCGACGCGCGAACCACAACAAACCGAGTCAAGGGTGCGGCCCCTGCAGGGCGCTAACTCAACCCCCGCCATTCTGCCTCACCCCAACGCGCTTTTCTAACGCTTTATTTTTAGCGGCCCGCTCTCCCACACCATCGGAGGCGGAGGCGCGCGCCTGGCCCGGTGGCCGAGCGACGGCGCGAGAGAGGACTTGGAAGGGAAGCGTTACCTGATTTCTCGCGGTGAGTCGAAGATTCATCGCATTTTAAGCGTGAGTCTTGGTGAAATACGCGAGGGTCGGTATGGCGGCGTGCGCGGACGAGTGCGCGGGACGGCGCGCATGCGCGAGTCTCGTGGGCGGCCCCACACGTGCGGCGAAGGAAGGGACTCACTCCCGAACAAAGCACCACTTACAACACTCGGGGGTGTCGTGTACTTCGCAAAACTTGAGGAAAACTTCTAAGTGCGTAACTTTCATGCATGTGTCCCGGAGGTGCACTATAGCGCCAATACAGCACTAATTTTCACCTAAACTTTCAAAAAAATTTACAAAATTACAATGGAATAGAGCCCCGGTGATCGAGCCCCTAGCTTATCTGGCGCCCTTTAATCTGACATGCCTATCACTGTAGGTAGGGTACAGACGACAACACATCAAAGTAAATACTGTGCTATCTTATGTGGTTGTAACAGGAGCTATTTTGCAATAAAAAGTAACTCTGATGTGCTGTTGCTGTAATACAGTTTTCAGCAAAGTTGATTCAGTTTGCATTTGACTGAGGAGATAGCAGCCTCCTGACTCTATAAATCTATTCATTGTGTTGGTAAGCGCATAACTCAACGCCTGGACCAATTTTACCAATTCTTTTTTTTTAATGTTCGTTGAAGTCCAAGGATAGTTTTTACACCGAGAAAAATTCGAATAATTTCCGAAAAAACCCCGGGCGGAAAGCTAGTATTGAATAAAAAAAACAAAAACCCCTGAAAATAATATAAAAATCATTTCCGCTTTTGGGTCACGTATTTCACGTTCACGTCTTTCGCGGAAATATTTTTAGATTTTTCGAAGAGTTAGGGAAGATAGGAATGAAATTCGCCATTTACTGATTAACTTGTTTGTATTTTGTATCCGCGCGTTTGTGGTTTCTCTTCAACTTCAACGTCAAGCGTATGAGCTCGTCGCTTCACTCCTATTCAGCGAAAAAGCAGCTTTGTGTGGCCTCCAGAACAATGTTATAATATCAGTCAACGTTAACAACGAAGAGGAGTATTTAAAAAAAAGATACCGTTTTAAAAAATGATTTTTATTTTGATCTCATTCAAGTATCCTTTTAGTAAAAACAGGATTCATACAAAAGTTTAGCTTACTTGGGGAAACATCCTCATGCATCTTATTATGACTTCTTACAGGTATCTATAATACTCTCAGCTAATAATTTCAAATAAACAAAGTACAAAAATAAGTAAAGTAATTGGTTAACGTACTACAAATCCTAAAAAGTAAAAAATAAATAAACTTGATTACATAACTCTAAAGGAAATTAAAATTTAACAATACCATACTTAAAAAAGTAAATCTACTGTCAAAGGTATTTACAAAGAATTGAAAATGATATTTGGACTAAACAAATTGTGATGAAGTTAGTTGCATATGATGTGTGAAATGAAATTTAATCAAAACCTAAATAAAAGGGACAAACAATGTATATCTATACTAAAAAGAAAATAGAGCACCTTTATTTATTTGAAGGAAGTTAGCATATTTTAGAATTAAAAATATTTCATAGTATGTAACACCAAGTTTCAAGTTTAGAGAAATCTTTTAATCTAAATTGTTAAGACATTTTACAATACATACAACTTCATTCACATAATTTATTATCATGATGCATGTTTTATGCCGTAGAAACTAATACTAAGTACAAAAATATAATTCGAAAGTAATTTTAACCTACATTAAAGCTGACAACATTAAATTGTGGTGGAAAGTTTGCTTACAATATAATTACAACTATTCAAGTTTGAGTAACAATCAACATTTATCTAACGACATTGATTTTTAACTGTTTGTTAGTACAGTCGACAGCATATCAGACTATACGTTTTTTACATTTTATTTTTGTGGCAAAATATCATAATTGTCACTACATAAGATGCCAGTGTTTAGATTGATTTGCCGTCGTTTGTACGATCGTTTTCCGTAGACCGGGTAGAGATGTGACAAACGAAACATTTTAAACATACAACCGCTTACAAATCGCCACATATTAGGCCTCTGATGGTAGCTAAAAACGCATGCATGTAAAATTTCATCCGCAACATATGACTTAACCACTTGTTAGCACTCGCGGCAGCCATTATTTGTCCACCGATGTCAATTATCCTATTTGTCAATAGGACGGATCGCATCATGATTATTGATAACCACTTCAAACCCCGATTAGCTTTTTTTATTCATTTACACCCGTTGCGTTACGGCAATTTTTTAACGTTGACAAAAACTAAGGGACGTAAAATTTTATCCAGGAACGAGAATAAAAACATTTAGGTACAACTAGTTTAAAATATGATAAGATAATAAAATTGTCATGCTATTTGCTGTTTCATTAATATTTTCTACAAGATTTTTCTGAAAACTGCTTCACCAGTGGAAAGCCACTTCCCTGGTGTCATTGACAACCTACTTTTTAAGTGAAAAGACTAATCTAATATCAATAGAAGACACATTATTGTCTTGTTTACAGAAAACAACACTTGAATAATGTAAAGAACATTCTAAGATGATGTTTTTGCGAATCCTATTGGCTAATGACATTTAGCAAATCTTATTGGTCATTGACTATGGTTCATTTCTCAGTTAACAATTCGCTTATCGCCTCTTAACACGTCGCCACACACGGGCCACCGGCCATAACCACAAAACATACATTTTGGATTCGCCGCACACGGTTGACGCCAGTGGCCGCCACATGCTACAAAACGACGCCACTACAGACTGGCTGACGCACGCTGTAGCCACTTCTAGCTTTTTGTAACAGCGTTTGTGGCTGTGGCTACATGGCCATGGTGTGTGTGTGTGTGAAGACAGCGTGCATGCGACATTTCCATCATTTAATTTTAATTAGTAACGATATAAATATCACAGTTTAAAATGATATTTACACAGTTATTGTTCCTCTGACAACTGTCCGCTGGTTGATACAAAATACCATCAACAATGATATGTATCCTCATTGTGAATTAACTGTAAACTAAGCCACCTATATTTAATTGTTCCTATTCTAAATTACTAACTAGATCAGTTAATTAAAAAGAAGCTTAATCGAAAACGGAAACTTACACTAATGTAATCGGCTTAGCAATGTCAATGACTTATACATTGTAGACTTTAGAAGATCAACTTGCTACCATGAATTGGATAATACCGGCAAATTATGACGTACGCGTCCGTAGGTTATGTTTGAACCAAGATAGTCTTGGAGCCAACAGACTAATGTGTATATCAGACTTGGACATTATAACAAACGTCAAACGCAGAGTACGCGCAATGAATGCCAACATGCGCAGATTTTTGGGAAAAGGAGTGCCAATATGTAGGGAAGACGAAACTCCGCTGGTCTAATATGGACCCATGCATGGACTTTAATCATTAATGTATGAACGCGGCATTATAATATATGACACCACTATACTGAAATGATATCAATTGACACTATAATTTAAAAAACCTGACTAAATCCTCTAAATAACCATCAAATGACAACTAAAAACTTGTCAGAGTGAATAATGCCATAAAAAACGTCTGGGAACTATATACAAGGTGTTAGGTAAATGGGTATATGAGCCGACACTAGCCCATGTTAACATGGGCATATAAATGGTATGGTGAAGTCAGAAATTTGATATCACCATTTTAATTTTTTTAATTGTCATACAAAATAAATTTCATAAAATCCGATTTATATGAAAATAAAAATAATTAAAATGAAGCTATCAATTTTCTGACTTCACCANAAATGGTATGGTGAAGTCAGAAATTTGATATCACCATTTTAATTTTTTTAATTGTCATACAAAATAAATTTCATAAAATCCGATTTATATGAAAATAAAAATAATTAAAATGAAGCTATCAATTTTCTGACTTCACCATACCATTTATATGCCCATGTTAACATGGGCTAGTGTCGGCTCATATACCCATTTACCTAACACCCTGTATAAATAATAAAAAAAACACAAAGCCAAAAAAGAACAGTCAAAAAAGGAGATCAGATTAGTTTGATTTTTCAACATGCCTTGATCAATAAAATGTTGTAAATAAAAAATATGTAAAAAGTAAATAAAATAAATGTATGTAGATTGTTGTCAGTTTGCGGAATACACATTTTGATTTGTATTATCCAATATAAAAAATGAGCCAGTAAAAACTCATAGAATTGAATAAGGTACCACGAGTTATCCACAATTACATACTATGTCAAAATAGCCACAAGATTGTCGTACCCTGTTCATACGCCGGTGTATTTACATGTTTATTAAATAAATTTCAAGGATTTATCAAAATTGTAAACAAGTGCAGCTATCTTATTCTTAATCTCAAATCAATTCGAGTAATTTTGTGAAAAATGTTTACTTACAAATACGACGAAACAAGTCTTCGATAACTTATTTTACTGTACATAAAGCGAATCATGTGTTTAAAAGCTAAGTGTAATATTACCTTAGATCTATTGTCTTCTCTCTCTACAGTCCAACATCACTTATGCTTCAATACTGTCTCCTTCAAACACTTGTAAAAAAACAATTCCACACAAATTCGAGGGTCGATCCTTCCGTCATGGTCTCGGAATATTCTTAACACTTATCGACTTGTCTTCGTCGCTAATGAAGGTACCACATGTTTGCCAATACCCTGTTTCGCCTTATGGGAGTCCAAATCGCCAAGAAATTTTGTGGTGGTGCGGGCAGAGTCAACAAAATCTTGATTGCTTATAATCATTGATTTGATTAACGCCATGGATTTCTTTGGTGATACGGAATCTTCGACTGATCCAATCAACGTTATAGACTTAGCATACCCCAAATGTTTTTCGAGCGAGTCCTTCACTCGCTAGTTTCGGTCTCCGGACAGTCCTCCCACGTGTTAAGTATGATGGCGAGCGTTTCCAATCAACGTTATAGATTTGAAATGCATACCCCAAATCGTTTTCGAGCGAGTCCTTCACTTGTTACTTTCAGTGTCCGGACAGTCCTCCCAATTGTTAAGTATGATCGCGAGTGTCTCGTCCAGTTCGTCGCCGGGGCCCCCGGGGCCCGTGGGGCCCGCGGGGCCCGGCGGGGCGCGCTAGGGGCGTCACGAGTGGTCGGCGAGGAGGGCGTCGAGTTGCGCCTGCGTGTCCTGCGAAGCCTGAGCCGCTATCGTGGACATCACGTGCTGCGGGATGTTGATCTGAACGGGCACTTGCATGTTCGAACTTGTCGGGACCTGAACAAATGAAAATATAATTTAGTGCTTGGGCTTATATTCAGAAGCGGTGTGTCGGCACCACTACTTACGGCCTAACGACATACGTGAAAAGTACAAAGACATTCAGTATAAAAATAACAGGAAATAATATTGAAAAAATTCTAAACATTTTTACGACCCAGACAGGTGGCACATTATGAGATCGTGCTTCACTAACTAAAGCCTGGTCCGTGAGCATGTAGAATTTTGTCCAATGACCCCAAGCTACCCATCCTTATTAGGCGAGCGCGTAATTATATTGCTGTCGCGACTGTGCGACGGGCGCCCGCCGTGAGTGTGCGAGCGCGACAGCAACATAATTACGCGCGAGCGAAAAGGATGGGTAGCTTGGGGTCATTGGACAAAATTCTACGTGCTCACGGACCAGGCTTTAGTGATGTTTATATTTCGATCAACATGCTATTGCATTAGGAATTAATGGGATATTCCAGTTGCCAAGTGGTGTTCTAGTTTTTAATACTGCATACAGATGAGATGAGAGTAGCGCAGCGAGAGGAAATCTTTTGAGGATGCCTTTTTCGAGCACTTGACGTCATTAGACTGAAACGACGACGAACGACTATAGGAGGAGAGTACTCACATGTATGGTGATCTCGGGCAGCACAGCATCGGAGCGCGTGGTGGTGATGGCAGGCGGCGGCGGCGGCGGCTGCGCGGGCGTGTTCTGCTCGTCGCGCAACCGCTTGCTCTCGTGCGAGCGAGTATGCTTGCGTAAGTGGTCCTTGCGGTAGAAACCTGACGAAGACAACACCAATATTATAATCTTGAAATAAATATCTTTGGACAAACACTGAGTCATCTAGTCCTTAGGCTGGTTTTAGAGTCACGCTGACCGTCAGCGCTGACAGCCGAATTGTATGAATCACTATGTCACTCAGGAACGTTCCCTTCAATTACATACATATTGATCTGTCAGCGCCGACGATCAGCGAGCGGTCAACGCGATTCTAAAACCCGCCTTAACTAAGCAATACTTGTGCAGACGATAAATAATATAACAGCTGATCACTCAATTATTTTTTAGATCGGATAAGGTTTTTACGTACAGACTGTATAGGGGATACTCCATTTGAACAAATAATCAGAGTACGATCATCCTGTATTGTATTGCCGACCCCTGGCCGTTAGGCTGCGGTCTATTATAAACGCTGTAGACCTCGTACAGGGTCATGCCGTAAGCCGCGTCACAATGCTTACTATAGAAATGTGTTGTGGTGCCTTTCAGTCGTTACGGTCGGCGTACGGCATTGATAAGAACGTTTGATGCTGACGTCGCGTCGTACACCGCGTAAAGCGTTTAATAGGAGACCGTAGTCTAAGGCCTGGTTTCCACCAAGGCAGTGGCAAGTCACCAATGCGCTGGACCGACCAAGTTTAATTGGCAGTGGGAGACGGCGTATGTGACTGCACCAGACAGTCTGCCAACAGAGAGAGATGGCGGGAGATCGTGCGGAGAGTTGTATCCGCCTCTACAACCGATGTGAACAACGCCTCAACGTGACTACGACCGCTCTGCCAAGAGCGCAACGAATAAGAAGAAGTGAGAAGAAATAGGGCCTAAGCGCTCCTGCACACGACACCGCCGCCGCGCCGCCCCCGCGCCTTTGCACTGTTTATAAATACGCGCCGCGTGAAGCCCGCTGCCTCGATTACAACTGTCTACAGCATTTTTGCGCACGGGTTATGCATAGCTTATTTTTATTGCTTTAATACCTAGAAATAAGAATAACAACAAAAAATTGTTCTGAATTTTCTTTTATGTGTAAAAAATAGAAAAATTCATATCAATGAATGCATGAAACATGAACATAGAGATGATTAATTTGTTGCCAAATATATTTTTTTCTTTCTTTCTTTCATTCTTTCTAATTATTAAAACATACCAAACATACATTTAAGATTCATTCTCACAAGAGAAAATTTAAAATTGAGTCCAAATATTTATTAAAAATGAAAAGTTCTAATTTCCTGTCATGTTCCATAGAAGATTTTTCTCATAAAAATCTAACCCTATCATGCTTTCAGTTTACTGGCCTTGGTAACGTCGTCTCTCAAATCCCACTATATTTTGATGAAAGCGTGCCCCTTGTTCTTGCGAATAAGCCCCCATAATTATCTTTAAATATATCCCAATGAGAATGTGACGTGCATCTTTAGAGACATTCTACTATGAAGATGGAAAATTCAAATCGCTATAAAAAGCAAATATTTTCGATTTGTAATCGCACTTTTTTATATACATTTGCTTATATAATCAGAATATAATAAGTAAAATCCATGCGCAAAAAAAAAAATTTTTTTTTGTTGACCGGTGTTCTTGCCGAAATTATGCTTTGACATTTACTCGGCGCGTATGAACAGTGTAGAGGCGCGGCGGTGACGCGGTGGCGGGGTTGTATGCAGGAGCGCTAAGGCCTCAGCCTCGAGTTTAGCGGGCAGCGGGGCGGGAGCGGCGGCGGCGCGGGAGCGGCAGGATCTTATGCGTAAAATCAAATAGACCGGTTCTCGAAAACAGCGGCGCGGCAGCGGGGAGGGAACGGGCAGCGCACTCCTTCTTTTGCCCACAATAAATCGAGCGTTAGGAATAAATTTGAATCAAAATAAAATTGTCGCAAACAAATATCTCGACAACACAACCCCGAACACAACATTTCGCCGCTAAAGCGCCGCGCGAGCTGCCCGCTTGTTTCGAGAACGGGTCTGCGTTGCCCGCCCCGCTCCCGCGCCGCCGCCGCTCCCGCCCCGTTGCCCGCTAAACTCGAGGCTGAGGCCTAAGGCGTTTTCTTCCCAAACAAATAACCATAGTTAAGTGACTCACCCTTGCCGCACTCGCCGCACATCTCGCTCTTGACGCCGGAGTGGATGACGGTGTGAAGGTTGAGGTGCTCGCGGCGCTTGAAGCCCTTGCGGCACACGCCGCACACGTAGGGCCGCTCGGGGTTGTGGCCCAGCTTGTGCCGCTCCAGATGCTCTTTGCGCTTTAGACTGCAAAACAAAGGAGTTTATAAACTTGTCTTTTTTTCCGTATACTTCTTCGTCTGTCCTTAACTAAGTAATGTTCATCGTAATGCCGCGTAACTAGAGCATTGGTTCCCAAACTTATTTGAGACGCGCCCCCTTTCAACCATACAAAAAATATAATTCATGCTTATTCATGTAGGGTAAACCACCCATTCATTGGCACTCTACCAATTTATTGGCATGCTCCAGTTTTTTAAGAAAATTAAGGTTTTTTGTAACCAAACCTTATATTTTTTAGTAGAAATTGTACAGTAATATCATTTATTACTCAACTGGCTACACACGTTTTTTATTTTTTCAAACATCGCGGCGCATCAACCATTTGTTTGACAAACCGCGACCTGTGCGAAAAAAACAATCGAAATATTCGTTTTTTACTAAGGTAAGAGCCATCATAATCTTTAAAAAAAATGCAAATCTATTTTGTTGTCCCTATACATAATCATTTTGTCTTATTATTGAATATATTAACTGCCTTTTTAAAACATTATTTTATAATTTAACCGCCAACTTTTAATTATTTGTGGGGTGCCAACATTTGGTATGCGTAAAATCTGTTTATCCATTTTATTGGCACACATGCCAATAAAAGGGTATTTAAAATAATTTTAGTTTATTAAAAATTATACCTTGTTTGTCTCAAAATTTAGTTTAAATTGCATTTAAAATATTTTTTAAGGTTTTGGATACACCAATCCAAATGTTGGCCCACTGCCAATTATATAAAATCCATTTATTGGCACGGGTGTCAAACATTGGTTAAAAAGGTGCCAATAAAANCGAGGAAGAACAGCTTTTTGTTGACTGGATAAAATAAAAATCAGTAGCAAAAAAGTATTTCCGAAGAGAAAAGAAGATTTGATAAAAGTGTTTATGGAAAGTTTAAAACCATATTTAAATATAAGCGTTTGAACTGGTATGGTATGTTCCTATACAAATAAATGTTACTTTTCTTATAACAAAGGATTTTATTTTGTTTATTTCTATCATGAATCTCTTTAAAACCTCTACATAAGACCTAGCAGCTATTTTTCAGTCTTGCGAGAACAGTGCCAATAATAGGTAATTATCACTGCCAATAAAAGGTTTGGCTATGCCAACAACTGGTATTTTGAGGTATTTTTTTAAAAGGTACACTATATTGAATAAATGATTTAATTTATTAATGATAAGTACTTTATAATATTCTGCAAAGATTAAAAGACCAATATAAATGTTTTTTTCTTTGATAAAACATATTTTTACATGCAAATTTTACCGGTTTTGTGAAGTAGCTGCTTAAAGTGCCAATAATTGGGTGGTTTACCCTATTTCCTCCGCCATTTTCCGCAGTTTGGGACCGCACGTCACATCATTTTACCGAAGTCAGCCCTATAGCTTCGGCGCAGTGCCGATCACTGACGTTTGTCAACAAAATGGTGCTTGACTCTTGAGACAGGCTAAATTACACCATATTGTTACTGACATTGAGCATACATTTTTTAAATACCTTCGCGAAGTAAAACTTCTTTACATAGTACATTTTTTTTTTTTATGCATAACAAGGCAGGTATTTGACCACAATCTTATTATTATTCTGTGGAAATACATGATTTAGCATGAATTATCATGAATAATATTAACTACTTATTTACCTCTCAGTGTCTTGAGGCAACTTAAAAAAGTACATTCTGTGTTTTTATTATCATTTAGGCAGTTAAATACTGCACAGTATTTAGTACACAATTTTCTTTATTTTCTTCCATCATACACAAGAATACGCGTGCGTGAGTCAATGTTCGCTCGTATGTGAGGCCTTGTCGAATAGTATCCTGTAGGTGGGCCATCGTGCGTGTTTGTTTTTGATGTAAACTCGCGGAGATGAACAGGCCTGGTAGTACTTATATTATTCTGTGGTATACTCCATATGACCATAGTATAATAATGATTATACTATGGTCATACGGAGGTTGTAGACTCACCCAGCCCCGCAAATGCCGCAGATGAATCTCCGCTCTATTTTGTGCACGATAAGGTGCATTTCCAGCTCGGCCTTCTCCTGGTAGCGGGCGGGGCACTCGGGACAGCAGAACACGGGCGAGCCGTCGGCGCCGGTCGCGATCACCACCTGCCCCGGCTTAGGACGAGCGGGCCGAGGAGGTTTCTTCTTGTATTTCTTCTTCTTTTTGCTGGTGATACGGATGGTGCCGTCTGGAATATTGTTGTGGTTAAGCAATAAGTAGTATATTGGACGACTAATAACGAGTCGACAATGGATTTAAGAAAAGTTAGACTAGAGATGATGAGGATATTATAGATCCAAAATACTGGACTGTCCTATCTGTGACATTGACAGCGGGGCACCACCGTCAATACCGGATCGCTGGTTCCGATTTTTGCCATGTTGGAAACTATACTATAGTTGAACGATGGTGGCGTCCCCCCTGTCAATGAGTTTGGTGGGACAGTTCAGTTTAGGTCATCTATGTCGGGTTTACATGCTATTCCGCAGCGGCGGTGCCACTGCAACTGCAACTACTTTTATTTGGGTTTATATCGGGCAGCAGATGCCTTTGCCGCAGCGGCATAGTGTGTAAAAGCGCTTAATGGCGTGCATTTCAGCACTAGCATGGCACGGCACTCACCCTACTACGGTTACATAAAATAGTGTGGCACTCACCCTACTTTTGTTACATAAAATGGAACTTGCTACGTAGATAATAAAGTATATTTTACCTTCGCCCAGCACGGCCTCGGTGATGTCGTCGCGCTGCTCGTCCGCGGGCTCGACCTCGATCTCCACTTCCACGTCCTCGATCTTCTTGACCTCGCCCGGATTCAGTCGTAAGAACTGCTGAAGGGTTTCTGGCAGCGCTTGGGTTTGCTGGTTGAAAAGAGTTATGCTTAGATTCGAATGCAGTTAAAATTATATCATAATATCCTAGTCAGCGTCAAGTAGTTCGTGACACCCAAAGTAGCCAAAAAGTTCGCAACACGTCTTTGTTCTACATCTTTTTGAATAAGGTTGTGTTGATTTTGGCTACTTTGGGTGTCATGAACTATTTGACGTAAACTATTTGAACATAATAAGTAGCTTCTTCTCGCTGTTGCGCTGGCGCAAGTTTTGGTCTATTACAGAAAGTCTTACCAAAAGTATAATTTGAAAGAATCGGTAGTACAAAATTGCTTTTTTAAAGCCTATTTTGGCAGAACATAAATTACAATTGTCTGACCACTTTAAAAACAAGTAGTAGACGCTACGTAGACAGGCTCAAATAGAATGGTCCAGAGCGGTTGTGGTGACATTTCTACAGAAGTCTAAATCCATCAACGGGAGGTTAATGACGATGAATAAAAGAACAATAAACTGTAGCAAGGCATACCTGTGGCGGCAGCGTGTTGAGATACTTGATGAGGTCCTGCTGGCTGCTGCTCGTCATCTGCCACGTGGAGCTGTCGCTCGTCTCTGTGCCTTGTGAACTCTCCTGCAAACAACGCGTTATCTGTTACATCTCATGTTGGCGTAGCTTGATCTGCTATCTACTTCGAAGAAGAAATAAGTTCTTAACACTCATTCGTGTGTTGGTGTGTGTGACAACTTTGGTGACAGTTTTTAACCTTGGTAGGCTCCGAAGAAAAAAGAATGATGAGTAAGCCAAATTATAGTCAACAATGTTTGCCTATGGTGGTTTTAATCTCCCATTAGTCATAATCTTGCAACTACTTGCCAATATTATTTATGGAATATTTGCTTATTTATTGAAGCTAGAAATTATAGTCGAACGGTGAATGGGTCGAGCTGGCCGACTCGACATCCGAGGAACGTTCGCCGCTCGACTATTGTGGTGAGGCTACTCTTAACACAAACATATTTAGCTTAGTACGTGGGGCTAAACTACAGAAGCTCAAAGTTGCACAGCGTGCTATGGAGAGGGCTATGCTTGGTGTTTCTTTGCGAGATCGAATCAGAAATGAGGAAATCCGTAAACGAACTAAAGTCGCTGACATAGCCCGACGGATTAGCAAGCTGAAGTGGCAATGGGCAGGGCACAAAGTGCGCAGAACTGACGGCCGATGGGGCAGCAAGGTTCTGGAATGGAGGCCGCGTATCGGAAGGCGCAGCGTGGGACGTCCACCTACAAGGTGGACCGACGACATCGTAAAGGTAGCAGGGAAGCGCTGGACGCAGGCCGCTACCAATCGATCAACGTGGAAAGCATTAGGGGAGGCCTATGTTCAGCAGTGGACGTCCTATGGCTGACATAATGTGGGGCTAAAGGAACTAATATCGCAACGTGCTAAATAGGCATCATACATTTACTCTTTGGCATACATTTTATAATAACTACTCACGTCATCATTCATGTCGTCGCACTCCTCCTTGATGACGATGTTGGCGAAGGCGTTGTTGTTATTGTTACTCGTGTTGTTGTTGAGCGCCTTGTTGTCGTCCGGCCCGTTGATTATGATTTGCTGGTTCGGCATTATGAACACCTGGTACAAAAATAAAAGCATAGTCAATTTAGTTTATGTATTATCTTTATACTAATGAATTCTTCGTTCACTCGAAATGTATTAAACTACATACTTGAATTTGTATTGTCTTAATATTGGAGCTGAATAAAGAGTCTCTGTCCAAGTAAAGCAGATGATAGATGAGTAACAAAACACCCCTTTTAGAATAAGATATGTACTACGGGAAATGCGCAAACGCATACTATCCCAACTAATATTATAAATGCGAAAGTAACTCTGTCTGTCAGTCTGTCTGTCTGTCTGTCTGTCTGTCTGTTACGCTTTCCCGCTTAAACCTCGCAACCGATTTTGATGAAATTTGGCATAGAGATAGTTTGAGTCCCGGGAAAGAACATAGGATAGTTTTTATCCCGGTTTTTGAAACAGGGACGCGCGCGATAAAGTTTTTCTGTGACAGACAAAATTCCACGCGGGCGAAGCCGCGGGCGGAAAGCTAGTTTGTATAATAATAACAACGCTGGCTCATAGAGAAAAATACATTTGATAATTTCGACAGCTTTGACAACATATTCGTAGCACTTAGCATCTGAAAAGAGCCCGCTATACATCCTCGGTAGACACCGTTTCACATCTTCGCAGCACTCATCTTGCTAGCACATCTTTGGAGGAAACATCCACAATATTTCACAATTTCGCTATAGTCTGGTCTGTGAGCACGTAGAATTTTGTCCAATGACCCCAAGCTACCCATCTGTTGTGACTGTGCGACGGGCGCCCGCAGTGAGTGTGCGAGCGCGACAGCAACATAATTACGCGCGAGCGATAAGGATGGGTATCTTGGGGTCATTGGACAAAATTCTACGTGCTCACGGACCAGGCTTTAGTTACTTAACAAATGGGATTGAAGGGTTCTAGTTACCTGGTGCTGCGGTATCTGGTCCTTGCTGTCCTGCGGCTGAGCCTGCTGCGCCTGCAGCAGCTGCATGTCCTGCGGCACCGCCGTCAGCACCTGCAGGCCTGCCGACACAGTCACGTTCAACAACATGCCAGCTTCAACAATGAATAATGTTCACTAATTTTGTTTTTTAGCTTTCTGTATTCTCTGTTAAAAATAAAAAAAACTCGTGAAAGAATTATTTCGATACGTCAATTAGTTTCCAAGATATTGAATTTTAAAAGTGCGGGCGGCGGCCGGCCCGCCATTTTATGCGCGTGACGTCATATTACAGTGACTGGCTCATATTTGTATGGGTGGAATCTTGCAAGCTGAATTAAGACCCACTTCCAGGCAACCGATTAAGCTGAAATTTCGCAAACACATGTGATTTGGATGACCATGCAATATTATGATGACATGGAGCTGATCTGATGATGGAGCTGGAAGGTGGCCATAGGAACTCTATAATAAAACGACTTAAATCCATCGAGTTTGGGCTCGTTCGTTTTGTATTGATGAGTACTTTAATTCTATATAATAATCAGGGTCTAATGATGGAGCTTGAAGGTAATTCGCAAAAAAATGACACAATCGCATCAAGTTTGGGTTTGGTTCAATTTTAATTTCTGTGATGGGTCTGGGTGTTAATATGTATAATAAGTTTGTATTTACAAAAAAAAAATGTATTTAAGTATGTTTATATCCGTTTTCTAGTGAGCGGACACTGTGAATGTACGTCACGCGGGGTCACGTGACCGTCGGCGGCACTCAATATTTAAGCGAACTTTGAATGCCTATAAAATCATAACTACTGGGTATTTTTGAATGAAATAAAAACTAATGTATTTGTAAATGTAAAAGCCTAACTATAACATAGGTTTCAAGTGATTTTGCATACCTAGTAACATTCTCAATTAAGGCCTGGTATACACGGACAGCTTGAAACAGTGTACGTAGTGTACTGTAGTTTGCTATGCAGTCGCAGCTTGAAGCTGTCGGATACTAGCTGCTTCAAGCTGTCCGTGTATGGCGGGTTTAAGGGTTACCTTTTTATTAATATTTATTTTGACATTCTTTATATTGGTCTAGATTGAATAAAGATTTTTTATTTTCAAATCTAACCGATTGTTCGTTCGTGTCAGCCAATAGACGTCCACTGCTGGACTAAGGCCTCCCCCAAGGATTTCCACAAAGACCGGTCCTGCGCCGCTCGCATCCAGGCGCCTCCCGCGACCGAATGTTATTCGGTTAATTATTTGTTTTTACAATAAAAACAAAAGAATTTGAAAAAAAAACATTAGATTTATTTAAAGATTGTCAGTCTTACGTAGAAAAGGGTGAAAGCTATAGATTATGGTCCATATAAAACAATGAGCAAGTCCTAGTTTACTCACACTTAGAAAAATAAAGACTATGACTGGCCTGCATCATGATATTGAAGTTCAGTTGAATTTGACGAAAATACCAATATTCCATGAATTTGAATCCTGACCTTTAAATAGTGGAAATGCCAACAATTCAATCTGTGTTACTAACTGTGCAAAATTATACCCAATATACCATTACATTCAGTGACAAAAAACGGGTGCATATAAATAAATGCTAGGTGTAAACTGTTAAGTTTGGAGTCCCACAAAAACATAAATAGATTTATAGTGCTTTAGTGTGTTGGAATGTTATAATACACACGATTGACATAATATTAAATTAATCACCTGTTCTCGTCCTGAATGTACCTGAGATATAAAAATGTCTTTAAATCGAATTAATTAAGATCATTTGAAATATTTAATGTAAATCTTATTTTTTAATTAATGTACTTTAATCATACATTATTTTTTATATTAATTAATAGAAAAGAATAAGCACGCAATATAAAATTGTTAAAAATAGTTTTCTCAATGAAAGCTGAATCTCACTAATCTTTAGTCACGAAAGGCCAGTATTTTGACAAATTAGGTATCCGTTTTATTTCTCTGTCACGCAAGTATCCAAAAATGGTAACATAATAGACAAATGTCTACATTCTAGTGAATGTTCAGGATTTACTTTCACTCTTTTTTTGTTTATTCGAATCTTTCTTTATGTCCTTTGGAGGTTGTACAGTCAGCGTCAAACAGTTCGTGACACTCCAAGGCTAAAAGTGGCCAAAAAGTTGACAACACGTCATCTATCGATCTATACATATAAATAAAAATGAAATGATGTGCGTTAGTCTGATTAAAACTCGAGAACGGCTGGGCCGATTGAGCTGATTTTGGTTTTAAAATGTTTGTCGTAGTCCAGGGTAGGTCTAAACGGTGAGCAAATACGCGCGCGATATTGTTTTTTAGTGACAGACAAAATTACACGCGGGCGAAGCCGCGGGTGGAAAGCTAGTTTCGAATAAGGTTGTGTTGCGAACTTTTTGGCTACTTTGGGTATCACGAAATATTTGACGCTGATTGTACCATCGGCAACAGTGTTAACTATCCATTGCCTGTCATATCGTCTCGTTCTATCGCAAAGAATCGCCATCTGATGAGAGCGAGAGCAAAAACGGAAATGGATAGTTAACAGTGTGGCTGGTGAGGCCGTGTGTACGTAAAACTATATGCATAAAGTAAGTACCTTCAGGCAGAGCATTTTGTCCAATAAGTTGGAGACCGCCGGCTTCATTTGCCTCTGGAGAATACGCCACAGTGAGGACAGCACCTGTATTTTGAACATATTGGTCAGTAAATAAATAATTCCAGTCGCAAAATGTAATCTGTATGGCAAATTGAATATCTTAGTTGAAACAGTGCTAGTTGTTTGTGGGTTAAAAATAAACCAGTTATCTACTTATAACAAACACGCAAATGAGTACTGGTTTTCGTTGTCAATCTTCATTTTTAAAAGGATTTATTGGGCTATGGCATTAGAATTATAAGAAGTCTTATTATACGAAATAAATCAGAGGAACGCGGGTTCGAATCCCACCGTCGTTCGATTATTGTGGTGAGCCCACTCGCAACACAAGCTTATTTAGGGGCTAATGGGACTATTAGTAATTTGTGCAATACAAATTGCTAATAATCTTTATAAAAAACCTACATAACCTACCTTGCTGGAATCCCTGTATAGGTATTTGCATCTGGTACTTCGGCTGCTGCTGCGGCTGCAGCGTCAGGTTCGGACTGAGCACCTGAATCTGCACCGTTGGTTGAGGATCGCCTGAAATTATTATTTTCAATTCAATTCAAATTATTTACTACTTTCATATGTTACATTAGATTAGATGAATGAAGATTTATTGTGCTATTAAGTACTTTTCAACCTTTTAAAAGCTCTGTTTTTGCGCGGCCAGCTAAAATATTCGGATAATAATAGAGAGTTAAAACGCGTCATCTGGACCAGCTGCAGGGTTTGAACAACATAAGATAAACTCCATATTAAAATCGGTTATTCCATTCGCAAAAATAATTTCGAACCAGTTCAATCGTCCATCAAACGTTTCTATTAAAAAAACTAGGCCCGGAAATAGCACACGTTTCATAAGCTACAGAGCTTGAGCTTGTTTGGTGGAACATAGTCACGCACCTGACTTTATTAAGAGCATTTACAACAATAATTTCGAATTAAGTTTTTAAATCTAGGCCCGGCAATGCCAGACGTTACATAAGCCATCGAGGTTGTTAGTGAGACATGTCATCTATCACGCACCTGGCTTTTTAAGAGCATTCACAAAAATAATTCCAAACCATCGAAGTTCAATCGTCCATCAATCGTTTCTATTAACGAATCTAGGTCTGGCAATGTCAGACGTTTCATAAGCCACAGAGGTTGTTTAGTGGCACGTTATCTGTCACGCACATGGCTTTTTAAGAGCATTCACAACAATAACTTTGAACCAAGTTCAATCGTTTCTATTAACGAATCTAGGTCCGGCAATGTCAGACGTTTCATCACACATCACAGAGGTTGTTACATTCACACACCTGGCTTGGCGCCAGGCAGCGCGATGGGCACAGAGATGAGGTGCGGCGCCGCCTGCAGCTGGCCGTCCAACGTCCGAACGTACTGCACGCCCTCGCCTAGACCACCCACCATGCCTACCACCTGGAAAAAAATAACACATGAAACAAGGAGTTTGAATACAGTCTCTTTTAAAAATAGAAGGAGTTTCTTTATTATGGAGCATTTTTCAATATGTATTTTTTTTTATGAGTTAGCCAGTGGCACCAACTTGTGAGCGCTAAAGTGGTAGGAGGACTATCGCATTTGCACTCATAAAGATGGCGCCACTGTAGAGTAAGGTCCTGTCAATCGCCAGGGGTGCAAACTGTTAAGTATAAAAACGATAGCCCTCATTATGGAGCATGGAGTTTCAATGTGTAGTTTCTTTTTTAATTGGATGCTCACGAAGCAAGGAGTTTTTTTAAATTGAGATATACTCACGAAGCAAAGAGGTTTTAGGAGTCTCTTTTATAGCAAGGATAAACTCCTCCTCCTTTAAATACGAGAAGGCTCTTTATGAATAGAATTTTAAGAGTAAAAACGTTTATGCAGTGCTTTCTACCACTGAATAGACTTTACTAGGATAAACTCCTCCTCCTATAAATACGAGAAGGCTCTTTGTGAATTTATGAGTACAAACGTTCAAGCAGTGAGTTCTACTACTGAATAGGCTTCACTAATGTTATTGAGGTAAAAAAATATGTGAGTGAAATTCGTTTTATTTTAAACAAAAAACCTGAAAGCTTCTGCCCTTACTTATGTGTATTGTCAACTGTGGGAACTAAGCAAATGCATATTCTTGAAAGGGTGTCCGTTTATTATAATTAAGATATTTATTACTGCCTCAATGTCATAATGGCTATTTTAATTGGACTATTATTCGAAGACTCATATTGTGAGTTATTTAGGCTAGGTTGCACCATCTTACTTTAACTTTGACAAACGTCAAAAATCTGTCAAACTCCATACAAAAACACCGGTTAAAATTATGATCAAAGTTTGGTGGTGCAACTCAGCCTTATATTGTGTGTCGCTTCATAATTTCAATCAATAAATGTAAAGAAGATGATGAGAAATTAAATTAATTACCTGTTGCAATGTATTTCCATTATTTGAAACATTTTGCTGTATCTTGGTCACAGGCAGTTGACCGCTGGTAGTAACAAAGTGGGTGCCCGTGGCACCCACCGTTGAATAAGCAAAGTTCATCTCAGATTCCTCTTCACTGTGAACAAAGTGCATAATTTTACTAACAATGTATAAAATTTTTAGTCTATTGGATAAGGAAAATGTTCAAAAACTTTTCTTTCTAATTATTTGCACACCAAAGATGCAAAACAATCTGCAAAAGTGAAAGTGATAATCATTATTGCCTGGATTTAATGCAAAATCATCACTTTCCACTACATCGTTACATAATATTTTCTAGATCAAGTATCTAATAAATTGATGATCATGAGTAAAACTTTGTTCGCCAACTCAGATTGTTATGGTATCATTGTTTAAAAAAAGAAGCCAACATCTGCAAAAAAAGAACTTATGCAACATCATACCAAGAGGCATCCTCTCTACTAGGCATTTTCTGCATGTCGCACATCGTACGCCTTCGCGCCGAGCGGGAGAAAAACAAAACAAAAAACACAATCCCACTTTGGTCACGCACAAACCACCCGGTACCCCCACATCCCGCGTCCCACCACTACACGGGACTACGGCCGGCACAGGGACACGATGGTAGGGCGCAGACCACTACCGACTACCAAGCACACCACACTAGAATTAATTCAACGACGGTGAGAGGCGAAAGATGATCGCGCACTAAGAAAGTAGGTTAAAGAAAGTTTTTTATGCTCAGCCGATAGTCAACCAGCAAGTTTGTTATACACACTGCCAGACAATTGGAGTGTATGTATGTGCATGTTGCTCTAACGTGATCCTCACTTTCTCTTTGCTGTACTTTCACAAGACAGAGGTGTGGTTGTGGTTCAGTGCCTGCGAGGAGCCTGATTGGGTAATAGCCTGCTCGTTGCCTTAAACGATTTGAGTATCAACCAATATTTTATTTTTATTATAAAATTTGATAGATTAATTAACGAGTGGAACTTAATAGTTGGAGTATAATTAGCTGTGAGTTGCAACATTGTATTTTAGAAAGTTTCATTGAGGTCATTGCCATAAAATCTAAACTAATGATGCAGATATTTTGTTTGTGTTTGTGGTGATTAATAATGAAAATTAGGTCAAAAGTTTTTCTTTTGAACACAAATGTTAGGAATTGCAACAAAGATATTGAATGTAAATATTGAATGTTTGGTAAATGAAGACAAAGGATTGCAAACAATATGGCCGGATGGTTAGGCTTAGTTACGCAATTATCTTGTAGCATCTAAAAAGTAATTCATAAGTTTTGAAGGGATATCGTTAGGTCGTGGGCGGAACCAGACAGATATCGAAGGTTGTTCACCCCTACCAGTTCAATTTGCCCCGCTGAGCGTCCATCACGCACGGCGCGACGCATCCCCACCAAGGTGCGGGATCCCCTCCATGTGCCTCCGACACCAAATCACTCCCGCTCCCGACTCCTTCCTCCACCGGCAGGAAAATCGCGAGAGGAGGGGTGGCTCGGTCCTCGCGGCACTCTCTCGACAGCGCTCCGGCCGCCACGCGCCCGCGTAACGGTAAAAAGAAGTACCGCTTTGCAAAATAGGGTCACGGATAAAATCACACGTAAACAAATCAAGTTGATACACTTACCTTAAATTTTAATTTTCACTATACACAAATGTTTAACAACTTCCAGAAATGTTATTTTTCTTTGGATTCATATTTTCTGTGATCACAACAAACACCACAGCCCCTTCTCTTTTACCTTTTACAACAAAATGAAATCGGCCATTGTTGTTTAGACGTTACTAAAATTTATCACCAGATGGCGTACCGATAGCTTGTACATGATTGGTTGAAATTGTTCACATTTTGACATAATGAATCATGGCATTTTTTTGTGGAGAAGATGGCAATTTTTATGGAGAAGAAATAAAAAGGAAAGAACCCTTATTTTCTTCAAGACTTTTATTACAAATATTTATTTTAAATACACGCTAATACAATAGGCACAACAAAATAAAGGTACACAAGTCTTAAGTCTAAATTACACATCTAAAATGGAAACTGTTGCCCAGATCTTTGAATCCTCTCTAAATGTAACTCAAATAACAACTTATTTTCGTAGAAATAACTGCTTTGAGATGAACTGACCCCTGGGTCATAACTTGGTCTTCTATCAGAATCCGACGACGAGCTGGGTGAAGACATACCAGCCTCCCCATTGATACCATTAACTTGACTAGAATTATGGTTTTGAGAAACAACACTTGTTGAGGATAGATTGTTGTTTATATGCAAATTATTAATTCTCTTCGATAGTGGCATAAATTCACATGTATCATCTTCACGGGATCTTTTCCTGAAAGTAGGGAACAATTAAATACACTAGTTTTTGTAAGTACATAAACAAACAATGAGGGTTAGAACATCATCATTCTTTGATTGAGGTAGGTACCTATTTTCTGTCATATTCCTGAAGAAATAATTTCCATTGCTACCAAAACTGGTATTCCAATTCAAAGCAGATTCTTCTCCAAACGTCATCTGTCCACAGGTTCGTCTGAAGCAGTCTGAAGATTGATCAAAGTTTGATAATTTTAGCTGACAAAATTTGATACACCAAGAAATGAAAATGACAGCCCTTGACACACTACGCAAAAGCAGCTGTTTATTTTTTTTTCTTTGTAGGCAGCCAGCCAGTAACGCCATCTGTCATTTTGCCTTACAACAAAATGTTTCTAGTGGTAAAACAAAACGCGTTTAGATATAATATTAATCAAAAGGCTGCAGTACAGTAAGTAATAATTTCGTTATAATTTTCTTCTACATATAAATAACTTAGGTTACTTTATGAATAAAATTTACAATGAATATTATTGGATAAATCATTGTATTTTTTTTGTTACATGTGATCAAAACGTTGCCTTAGTTTCGTTTGACTTGCATAGATGTCACTACTCCCGCGTATTGCCGCAGCGACAAAAGATGGCAGCACTTGGAATTTATACACGCGCGCTTTTTACCCGACTGCGCCAGAAGGAGGGTTAGTTACCTGACTGTAAAAGAAGTGATGGTAACATTTTTGTTGTTTTTTCCAGTTTGGAAATTTATGGTGCCACGTCCGTTTTTTCCAGTTATTTTGCCACGCTTATTAAATAGTTAATGGCTCATTGTAAAAGGGTTCCCAAATACCTTTAGTCATCTGAAGTAGATATTCAACACACGAGTCTGCACAACTACAGAATAAGTAATAGTACTTCATTAGAGGGCTTTATTAGAGGCCAAGCTGTAGATCCTGGGCTCCTGGCTACACAGGAGTTGCAGTGGTGGAAAGGTGTGGTGGGAATGGGATTAGTCCCGTTATACATATTGAGGTGGTGTTTACCGTCGACCTTAGTAAAATTTACTTACTACGTTGTATGTCTGATACGAAGGTCTAAGACATTTTTTCAGAAATTATCTCTTTTTTCAACCTCTTAAAATCAGCCAATCCATCCAATGCACTCGCAATTACCTAATGAGGATCATTTCGATTTTTAGCTGTGAATGCAGATTTATAGGGCTAAGAAATCCTTAATACAGTCCAAAAATTTTTGTTCTACGACAAAAATTGACGAAGTTATGGCCAAATTACTAAAAAAGTTCACTGACCGCCCGGCGCGGGGACGATGACGTCATTATATCCGATCCGAACGCTGCCGGCGTACTGCGTGGATAGAAAATATTTTTTTCTAGCCAAACTATCAGTTTTAGAGAAAAACTTGTAATGACATTTATTCATCAGAATAAAGTAAGCTATCGATAGGTAATTTTTAAAAATAGAAATTGTGAAAAATAACGCAAAAAATCCATACGCTCATACGGTTCAATGGAACGCAGAGACGCGATTGGGGTCTCCGCGGTGGTATATTTGGCGATTTATTCAAATAAAGTGTTCATAAGTGTTGTTAGAGTCAAAATCTTCTTCCAAGTAAAATATAAAAATCTATAAGTATTAATTTATTTACTTCTAACAATAAGATATAGCTGAGGCAGATACACTCTGCCTAGGCTCTAATTGCTTGCTATGAAGATCATTTCGATGTACACGCAATACCTACCTGTTATTTAGTTTTTCTGAGTTAAACCTACGTACCTACCTAATCTATTCGCCGTTCCCATGGGCGGGCCAGCTGCTTCAGGAACGGACAGCTGCTCCCTCCTGGAAATCTATTTAATCTTAGCCTAGAAGCTGGGTATGACTCCCCCTCAGCCAGAAGCTGAGTATTACATACCCCCCCCCCCAGGCCAGAAACTGGGTATGACTTTTACTAGTTTTATTGAATTTTCTACAACAGTACTGATCCTCATTGGCACCTACTTACTTGAAAGCCATGCCAGTCCATGACTTCACCTGAAAAAAATGCACGCTGCACTGTTCGGTTTTCCAAAAACAAATTATGTACCTAACTTTATGCGTTGCATTGGCTTTAGCTCGTGGGATTTGGTCATCTGAAATCCGAATCCATTTCATGTACATCATGCCTTACTACAGAACATGTAGAGCAGACCATGTAGGTAGGTTGTGTATTTGAGACTCCCCGAGTAGAGTAATCTAGAAACGATTCGTTCAGTCCAGAACTCCAGCCAGAGTAACCCAGAGTCCAGACCAAATATTGTACCGAATGTCTACCTACCCATAAATTATGTATCATTTGCCTATCCTATGCCCATTTATTGAAATTGATTTCGAATGTTTACTTAAATGGTCTCGTACTACCTGCGGGTAGTTCATGTCCAAAGAAGGCTTGAAAGAGACACTTAAATGTTGATTTCTCAGTATGGGAAACGAGGCTGCCGAGCTTGGCTTCGTAAGTGTTATGTATTGTAGAGAACTTGTTACATCATGTGCAAACAATTAAATGTTTTAGTTAATTATCACACGGAACCCTTAGAAGGAAAAGTAGGTTGTTGCTAAAGAACTGGCAAGGGAAAAATGTTAATTTATGAGGTTGTGTCCGTAATTGTTTCCGCATTTTTGTGGATAAAGTTAACGGCTTAGCAGGGTTCTGGTAAATAAAGCGATACAATACATCATCAATACTGTTACTGTAGATACTGGATACAGTTAATTAAGGTAATTTCTATCTTTACTATCCGAGAGCAAATCAGATCTGAATAGGTACCTAATTCAGGTCATAAACTGTAGGTCCTCATATCGTTTATACCAAGTAGAGAACTTCCAAAGGAAGGAAGTGTAAAATGTAACGTAGTTAGTAAGTAGGTACGGTTATGTTTAAGAATTAATTACCTACTTGCACTTGCACTTTACAGTATTCCAGTTTCCATTTAATTACTACATAACTAACCATTATTTTCAGTGTTTCAAGTATAATTGAACGTTGTAGCATAAATGGAGAGAAAAGTAAATCAATATCGCTTTGACTTTATAGCATAAGTGAGCCTCATCGGTATAATGAAAGATTATGCAAAAAAGCATATTATCGTCACGCATGGTCAACTATATCTCTAAATGGTAAGCAATATCTGGTCATCCCTCCAGCTGTCAACGGGGAGCGTGTTTTCGCTGCGCATCAGAGAGCGCAGCCATCTAAGCTTATCCGCTCTGCGTGCCATGTGGAATTCGCCTTATATGGCTTGGGTCTGGCAGTTGGTAGTTCGCCAGTAGTCTGTACCGCGCCTCCGATAGTAAAAAGGGCGTGGGAAACTGCCGAGCGTAACCTATATTTCACTGACGATCATCAGCACGTGACAAATTGCTGAGCTCCTGATGAATGGCCTGAGGGTCATAATTCAGCTCTATTGCGATGAATGGATCAGTAACTAGCAAAACTTTAATTGAAATTAACATTCGGTTCAGGTATCAGTTATCAATAAGTAACTATTCATAATGTATTTTTTCAGGTCTGAAAGAATATGAGTATAAAATCAAATCAAATCAAATTTCTTTATTTGCGTAATTCCAGGTACATAAGTGGTTATAGGCTTTCATTTTCATTGTTTTTTCATTTATATTTTTATCAGAAGAAACTAAGAAAGGGTCATTTACAAATAGGTAGAGGTGTAGATAAGTACCCTACAAGGCTTTGTGGCGATGGCCTGATTGATTGCTTCTTCGGGATGAAATGTTATGAGATTATCATAATATTAGTATAACTTCTGTGCCATTACTTTCTATGATTGCCTATCTTTAAATCTACTACAGCTGTTAGTGCCACAGGGCCTACAGGCTACACAGTACACAGGTAGATAGGTAATGCAAAATTCGTAAGCTATCGAAAAACCGTCACGCATGCTAATAAGTCTGCATTATAGAGTCAGGCAATCGGTCAAATGGAAAATTAATATTCATACTTAGCGTCAGCTAGATTTCGATATCAGAGGTTAACAAACTTCCGCGGGATGTGGAGATGTTCTGGCGATCGTTACTTTCGTGAGTACTGTGAAGATACTTTCTCTGTGTGCTCTCTTCACTTTCACGAGTAAACGACTCTTCATTAATGGGAACCGTTATTGTAGTTAAACTTGGATAATCATATCTAACGCCCCATTGTTGTGTAAAGAGTTGAGAAAAAACGTAACACATCACTGACATGGATTCT